GAGATCCTTTCCCTGGAATTGAGGGGGCCTCATCAAGCAGGAATCCATCCTCATCCCACCTCTAGTTCAGGCAATGCTGGGTGTTTTCTGACTCCAGGGAAGTGGTCTCCACAGCTTCAGTACAGAGAAGCTACAAAGAACAGACATCCTGAGCTGCTTCCACACGCTGATGAACTCAAAGGTTTGAAGATCAGTCTGCATGAAAATGGTGAAGGTCCAAGATTACCCGACTACAACTGGGCTGGAAATGGGATTGTTCCTGGTACCAGGGTAGCTCCACGTAGCAGGTTAAGGAGTAACCCCTCCCCCACATGTTGCTCCCAACATTCTATCCCACTGACGGCAACCCTCCTATAAACTTGCACATCTTGACTGAATTGATTCTGGATTCCAAAGCACTTCACATCCTATACTGCTCACTACTGTTACCTTATTTGAATTACTGTGTAGAGGTTTGGGGGAATACTTATCAACACTCACTACAGCCACTAGTCATAATGCAAAAAAAGAGCAATAAGAATCATTCACAACGCCGGACTTCGGGATCATGCAAACTCCTTATTTCTAAAATCTAAATTGCTAAAATACCAGGAATTAATAGAATACCAAACTGCAGTATTCATGTTCAAAGTAAGACATAGCATATTACACACATATATATATATATATATATATATATATATATATATATATATATATATATACTAGCTGTTTTCTCACCCCACGTGGGGTGGTATGTGTCATCCTCAAGCTCGGGTCCTCTACCAGAGGCCTGGGAGTTTGAGGGTTCTGCGCAGTATCTTAGCTGTTCCTAGGACTGCGCTCTTCTGGACAGAGACCTCTGATGTTTTACCTGGAACCTGCTGTAGCCACTCTCCCAGTTTGGGGGTCACAGCCCCCAGTGCTCCAATTACCACTGGCACCACTGCTGCTCTCACTTTCCACATCTTTTCTAGCTCCTCCTTCAGTCCTTGGTATTTCTCAAGCTTCTCGTGTTCTTTCTTCTTGATGTTGCTGTCGCTTGGGATTGCCACATCTATCACTACTGCCTTCTTCTGCTGTTTGTCGATCAACACGATGTCTGGTTGGTTAGCCATCACCTGTTTGTCAGTCTGGATCTTGAAGTCCCATAGGATCTTAGCTCGGTCATTCTCAACTACCTTAGGAGGTGTCTTCCATTTTGACCTTGGGACTTCCAGCCCATACTCATGGCAGATGTTCCTGTACACTATGACAGCTACCTGGTTGTGGCGTTCCATGTATGCACTTCCTGCCTGCATTTTACACCCTGCTGTTATGTGCTGTATTGTTTCAGAGGCATCTTTGCACAGTCTGCATCGGGGGTCCTGCCTGGTGTGGTAGACCCTGGCCTCTATTGATCTTGTACTGAGTGCCTGTTCTTGTGCTGCCATGATTAGTGCCTCTGTGCTGTCCTTCAGTCCAGCCTTTTCCAGCCACTGGTAGGATTTTTTGATATCAGCCACTTCTTCTATTTGTCTGTGGTATACGCCGTGCAGCGGCTTGTCCCTCCATGATGGTTCTCCTTCCTCTTTCTTGTCCTCACTTTCGGTTTTCTCCTGCCTGAGGTACTCACCGAGCCATTTGTCTTTGGGGGCCATCTTTCTGATGTACTTCTGGATCTTAGTTGTTTCATCTTGGACAGTTGGTACTGTTGGTACTGACATATATATATATATATATATATATATATATATATATATATATATATATATATATATATATATATATATATATGTGTGTAGGTAGGTAGGTATTTATATGGATATATATAGCAACATCATTATAAATATTGTAAATTGAAGAAATACAAGAATTAAAGGGGTAGGAGCACATAAGTTCTACTACTTCCTACTCCTTTTCGCACATGTAATAGAGGTATATTAACTCAGGAAAGAAGGGTACCTTGTTTGTTGTTTTTCTCTCCAATGTTTTTAAACATTGTTTTATTGTTTTTTTTTTTTTTTTCTCTTGCATGTTCGAAATAAAGATACCAATCTAATAAAAAAACAAAAAGAATACTGAGGCTGTTTAAAAGCCTCTCAAAGTTGTTGCGCTTTCTGAACCATCCCCATAGCGGTCACCCGGTATAACGGTAACAAGGCTTCCGACGTCATCAATTTTGGCCCCTCCCCTAAATGAATCCCCCCCCCCCCCCCCCCCCACTTGTTTTGGGGAAATGCCCCCTCCATTACTCGACACACGCCTCAAAGCATCGGCTCATCTCATGACATCACTAGTGACCGCAAACAGGAGGCCTCTGATTGGTCAAATCTACATCTGCTCTACACTAAGCTTATTTCCTGTTTGGTACCTTATCAGCTTGTTTTGTTTGTATGACCGCCATTATGGAAAACGAATCGTGAAGAAGGTAGAAGAGCGAGGTGCGCGAGAACGCTGGGACCCTTTTCCCACCTGGATCCCCGCTCTTATTTGCCCTCATGTCCCGCCGTTGTTGCATAAACTTGCCCCGACTTCCTCACAGCCTCACCGTATCTAGATGGTATAAACAGTGGGGCGATCGTACCTTGTGGTCACCACACCCAAACTGTGGAACTGCCTGCCCCTCCGTCTGAGGGTTCTCACTGATCTGGACCTTTTTAAGTCCAGATTAAAGACTCATTTTTTAAACTGGCTTTTAATACTTAGGACACATTATTTTATGCCTATGATTTTAGTATGATTTTTTTTGCAATGTTTTTATCTTTCTGTAAAGCCCTTTGGTCTACTAGTGTTGTTGTAAAGTGCTATATAAATAAACTTTGATTTAAATTTTTGATTTTAGACTCAAAGCTAGTTCCTGATTGTCCCTCTTGCGTTGTAGTGCGGAATAACAAAATATCTGCGAACATTGAGACACACTGCTGCGGGAGGATAACCAGCCCTTTAGACAACATTTATTGTCATTTTGTATCACAGAGCGTTTCAGAACATTTCCATTCCATAAAGTGCAGCAGTTAATGAACAATCCTCTTGACACAAGAAAAAAACAAAGTTTCTAAAAAAGCTGCCTATCAATAACTTATTAGCCGATCAATAAGATCAATAAACTTCAGACTCATTTATTAATCCATTACTGTCATCCCTATTTTCAGCATGATTTGGTCATTTATCAGTTCAAAAATTGCAGCAACGATGCAACTTATTTCAGTTTGACACACTTCAGCTACACACAACAAACACCAGAATGGAGCGCTTAAGCAAAAAATGACGACAGATCGACAACCATCGCCTCAAAGAAAATCAGCATTTAAGACAGATCTCTTTTTATAGCTGTAATCTAACTTCTTTTTTATAGTTGAAAACCTTCAGAGACCCGTCAGAGTCCTGCTTAATGAACCTCTTACTTTCGCTTTGTGAGAATTTCCTCCCACCTCGCTAATAGCTGCTAATTAAGGACACATACCAACCAAATGCACTTTAATAGTCAAGTTTTAATGAGATTCACAGACCAAAAGTCTTCAGTAAAGGAGGCATTTCTTTTATGGCAGCTAGTTTATAGTATGTAACATGCGAGCCATGTATAAACGGGTTTAATCTTTGTCAGACCGTCCCCACATTACTGTGAGTGGTTTAGCTGTTCCTGCTGCTGTGTTTACATTTCCAAGATGGATCCTGCACTGAGAGGGATGCATGTGTGTCGAGGCTCTTCCTGGTAACGTGACGCAGCTGTGCACTCTACAGCGCAACTCAACCTCTTTTCTATCCAAAAACTGGCCAGGCGCTCTATAAACCCCCCCTGTTTTCTAGCCTGGAAACACCTAACAAGCCTTTGACTTTTCCAGGATAATCTAAAGCAGGGAGAGCGAAAAAAAAACCAAAAAGAGACGAGAGGACTTGCTTTGTTTTCCTGGAACAATGGCGGATCCATGATCACAACAAAAACAAGCCAGCATGTTACTCCCACTCTATTAAAAGAACGACATTAGGAAGGTGACAAGCACCTTATGGCGCTAAAAATAGCTCTGATTCAATCGGGTTACCTCATGTCGGCCGTTACTCTACATGAGTGGAGAGTTCAGACTGAACAGGATTGGGCTTGTCCCGATCCGATCCACGTATCGGATCGGGACGCCGATATTGGCAAAAAAATGCGTATCGGCAAAGCATGTAAAATGCCGATCCAGACTGCCGATCCAGTTTTTAAAAAAAAATCAGGTCCGTATTTTCCAGTTTCGCCGATTGAAACGATCCATTCCACTATTTTGCGCCAGTGTTTCCCTGTTTTGCATTTTTATTAAAACTTACAGTAATACTTGCACCTTTAACTGTTTACGGTTTTACTGCTCACTGTGCAATTTCAGATTGCTATTCGCAATTTTGTCCAGTTTGTGTTTATCTCTTAATAAACAGGAAAGTTTGTTGTTACCAAGCATTGTGTTTTATTCAATCTCACCTAATTCAGCTGGCTAGATGTTATCAAGAGTACTAAAACCCTTTTCAACATGAGTCTTACAACTAAGGCTAAATACTTTAACTTAAACTTAAATACATGCTTGGATAGGCTGGTATCGGCCAGTATCGGTATCGGATCGGAAGTCCAAAAACAATATCGGTATCGGATCGGAAGTGCAAAAACCTGGATCGGGACATCTCTAAACAGGATGGAAGCTTAATGGGATTAAGGGGCAGGACGACCCGATGTGAATCCAGACACCTTTAAAGCCGGTACCGTAAAGTAACATGGGTAAACATTGAAGATCTGATTATATTAGAATATGTCCTTTAATAGAACGTGATCTGTTCTCTGATATGGATGTTTAATGAGGTCCAAGCGCAGAAGGAACCTCCATCTATCTGTACTGATGCTGCAGCCAGCGGTAATTCAATCCACCGCCGCCCATCACTTTCAATAAACCACCTCATTCAACTAAACCACAACAACAAGGAGGAAAATCAGGTTTTGCTGGCCTCCCTGGGTAAAGGTAAATAAAGCTGGTTATTTCATGGACTCTGCAGCTGGCTGAATGTGGAGCGTTTACCTGGAGCTCTACTGGAGCTAAACGCGCCGTGTATCTACAGGGATCAGCTGTGGATCCAACGCTGAGGAGGAACTGAAGCTTCTCTCCAACCACGCTGCAGGAGGCGGCCTGTTGGCGGGAAGAAAAAGCGAAAGCAGTTTAGATCAGGAGGGGAACTAAAGGCACAGACGTCTGAAATGAAAGGAACTATATTATTATTCATTTTACAGGAAATACTGATAAAAAACTATTTTCTAAAACAATAAAATGAGTTTATGGCAGACTTTTCCCTGATTCATTCAGGATTAAAACAAACAAACGGGCTGAAACACGTTTATTCGTATCTGAAGAAACGTTGCAGGTTTTACGTCCACTGCTCAACCAGTTCTCTAGTTGCTCCTGAACATAAAATCTATTTTTTTATTTTATCCGATGTCACAGTTTGAGTTGGATGGTTTGAAAAGTATGGAGCGATTTTTGTTACATTCATGTTGCAGCAAAGAACACTTTTTATAAATGAAATTTTGAAAGTAAAAAAAACTATCTAGAAATTAAATATTGAAAGGTTGTTATTTAAAAAAAGGTTTCTTGAGTATCTTTATTGTTTTCTTATATTTTTTTTTTTTTTGCACGTTGTTTATTATTTTGCTGATTTTTTTTTTCAAACTTAAATCATTTGAAGTTCTCCTTTTCAGATGCAGTTTTACAAATAACATTTTTTATGGTGTTTTACAGATCGAATTCTCTTTAATTCAAGCCCAATATAAACATTTACAGTTAATTAATAAAACTGTTATCGCTAACATCTATGATGACCGATGAAATGTGTCTCTGCTCCTCAGATCTGTGAAATCCAACCTCAGAAAGAAGGACATTCGTAAAAACAAGCTGAAAAAGAGAAATGTTACAAAAAAATGTATATGAAAAAATAAAACATGGAACTAATAATAAAAAAAAAGATAAATTTAAAAAAAATCTAAGTCGGTAACTGGGGTAACTTCATTTGTTATCATTGTCAGTGAGCTCTATGTGAGCTAAATTTTATTTGGGATCTATTTCCCACTGCTTGGCTTTTATTGGTCCTTTAATTCTGCTGCTCAGCTCTAAATCAGCAGAACCCCCATCTCTGAACTGATGGTCTCTCTTCTTCACCTTCAATCTTCTGTTAATGAATACTTTCTTAGGTAAACTGCATCACGTTCATGAAGTTAGCTGGAGTTTAGAAAGTTTGCTGAATCTGATGTGGCGAATGAGAAGTATTCGTAGAAATTTTCAACACGACTATAAAACAGATTTGGTCCATCAGACCCAATGAATCTACACATAGAGGATTGCTATAAACCTTCCTGAACTTCAGCCTTAATACAGACTGATGGGCTAACAGAAAAGAGAAATTAGCTCCACACTAAAAAATTAATGATCAAATATTCAGCTGCGATGAAGCTGTCTGCAAAGACACAGCTGCTAAGAGATGCCATCAAATAATGTAAGGGGCGGGGCTATGCATTTGAGCATGTGTAGATGGCTAGTATGGAGGGTTAAAAGCCTAAATTTTACATAAAATACTGAAATGTAAAATTGAAAGTCCAATCAAATAATTAAATGTACTTAAAGTCTCTTGGATAATGGAACTTTATTGATCTCACATTGGAGTAATTTACCTCTCCATTTAATTCTCCTTGGCGAGGAGTGGGCGGCCATTGTGGGGCGCCCGGGAAGTAATCGTGGTTAAAGGTCGTGCTCAGAGACCCAGAGTGGCAGTCTTTGGGAGTGGGTTTCAAACTCACAACCTCAGGATTTCAAGTCCTATGCCCTAACTACTAGGCCACCACTCCCTAAGTAGCAGACTCATCATGAAATAAAAAAATCAGACTCAGTGGGCGGGGCGAGAGCCGCTTCCATAGAATCCCTGAGGTCTGATTGACTGCTTCTTGCTGAAAAAGAAGAAGAAGTAAAGCAACTTCTTCCTGAATTTATTTTACTCTTGAGTCAATAATATTGCTCAAAAAGGTGTAAATAACTTTGGAAAGGTGTTTATTAACATCATATCAACCCCAGCCTCTATGTTCGTTGCGTTTGGACTTTATAGGGGCTGAAACAAAAAACAAAAAAAACAAACAAAAACAATAATTTCCTCTGAAAACAGAGGAGGTCAGAATTGTAACCATGCAGAGGGTATGTAAACATCTAAACTGGTTTCTGTATAAAAAAACATAACATGTGACCGCATCACAGAGAGCTGAAAAAAAAACCCCACTTCATTTGGTTAAAGCTGTTTGAAATCAGATTAAAGTAATCATAACCTGCAGGGCTGTAAACTACAGAACAATATCCTGAATGGGGTATAAAGTCAGACAGTAGGGTTTATAAACACTCTCTGGGTTTATAAACACAGTCTGGGTTTATAAACACAGTCTGGGTTTATAAACACAGTCTGGCTCTGGCTCAGACCTGCTGCAGCTCTAAAGCCAGGTCTCTGTAAAAGTCGCCTCCATTGCTTCAGTCAGAGATGCAAACTCACAGCTTCGTTGTGACGTCGGTGACTTTGCAGCGTTTTTCTCTTACAGTGACGAGAATGAGGAACTTCACTCAGAACCGATTTGCATGTTGTCTTTAGACATCTACACTTCATCAACCCTGCTCTGTTGTTTGAGCAGGTACTGTCTGCATCGTTAATTCTTCACACACTGGTGAAGACCTACCGCCTTAAACAGACATCAAAAAGTGATGGTTAAAGCCGCCTGACCCTTTACAGGGAAAAGTTAGATTTTTATGAAAAGTTCCAGTGATGCTTTTTAGGACCTTATATCCCACATCTTACTCCCTCATAGCCTTTTCCTGCTGGAGCAAATCAACAATAACGTCATATCTCAAAAACTCCAAATCTCTCCAAATGTCATCATAGACATGTTGTTGATAGACAATTGAGAGAGATTATATGTATAGCTCGTAATATACATTAGGGGTGGAACGGTTCACAAAATCCACGGTTTGGTTTCGGTTCACGGTTTTTGGTTCGGTTCGGTATATGTTTATTGTTACACCGAAAAATAAAAAAATTAATAAAATAATAAAGATTAATGAAAAAAAAAAATGTATGAAAAAATTTTTTTTTATGAATTGTAATTATTTTTAATGATTCGCGGAAACCCTGGATCATTTCCGCATGTTTTGCTGCTTTGAATTTAATCATCTCGCGCATGCTCTCTACGATCTCCAAGGGACTCAGAGGGGAGCGGACGGGAGCACAGTGTAGGCTGTAGGCTTTGCTTTGTGCAGGCGGTCTGGAGCGCAGCGGGGCGGAGCGGAGGGGAGCATGACAGAGTATGTGGGATTTTGGGGTTAGCCTGACATGTTGGTCATGTTGCTGTTAGCATAAACAAAACGTGTTGCACAATGCTTGCACACTGTTGCACTTTTATCCACAACTTTCTTTCCGCAGTCATCGTAGGTCACTCTAAATGCAAAGCGCTCCCATACAGCAGACCTATAAAGTGCTGCTGGCGCGTCTTCCAACTCCTGTTCTTTCCCACTCGCCATACCCACACAATTCTCCACAACAACTGATTTTTTTCCCTGCTACACCCGGCTACGCTGCTTCGCTTCTTCTTCTTCTTGTTTACTACTGGTGGTTGGCTTTGGCCGCAGTACCGCCACCTTCTGCTCTGGAGTGTAATCGCTTCCCCTATGAGAAAAAGGAGCAGCGCATGAACCGAACGCAACACACGCGAATCGAACCGAGACAGTCGAACCGAACGGTTCGAACGGTTTTCATAAACCGTTCCATCCCCGAGAAGCAGCCAATCAAAACGGCCCTTCGCAGGCAAACGCCAACTGAATGGCAGCTCACTGCTACCAGCGAAATCCCCTCCAACTTCCAGCCAGAGGCCTTCTCCTTGGACGTTCTTTTTTTTTACCCCTTCACTGAATTACAGGGCCTGACCAGGAGATGATGCTTCTCTTTAGATCTTAATGTGCAGAAATCATGAGAGAAATATTATTTTAGTACAAATATTGATGTTTAAAAAGGAACTGCAAAGGACCGGCTAAGGGCCCATCAAGGAAATTGCGGAAATTTTGCATGGCTACAACTATATTTATTTCACTCTACATTCATTTATACAAATAAAGTGAATTACATGAAATGTTAAATCATTTTTTTCTTTCAAAATAACATTCAATCATTTAATTAATCTTTTTAAATGCATGTCAATTATTTAATGGGACATTTTAATCGTGCATTTAACAATCTAATAATATGTCTTTTTTTATTTGACTCATGTATTAGATCAATAAATAACAGTTACATCTAAATATTTTATGGTAAAGTCATGTTTCTGTCTTTCATTATTAAATATTTTTGGAGCTTCATATTCCTCGGGGATGAAAGCATAAATTTCCCTAACTTTCAAGGGTTTTTTTCAGCATTTCTTTTTGCAAATTCTCTCTTAGACGGCTCTCTGCAGCTCGGCTGAGGAGTCTCTACACGGTTTACATCTGAGGGCGTAGAAAAAATTTTGGTGTTTACGCGTGTCTGCGAGGAATGCCATCCAACGAGGTCGGGCTGGTAGCTCGTCTATCCCTGTAGTGTCTGTTAGACGGGATGATGTAGCAACAGATCTACTGGGGTCTGTAAACTGTGGGGGAGAGAGCCTGGGTGGAAAGGCTTCCTTCCACAACATGTAATCACGTTTGGAAGTTTGCTTATTATGATATGATGTAAGAACACTGGTGTCTCTGAGCTCCTCCCCTCATATCTAAGCTTCTTAAACACACAGGTGCTGCTCACAGCATGTGGGTAAAAATAAGCCTGTGTCCATTTAACAGCAGAGCTGCTGCTAAACATCACCGTCCATCACAAAGAAAAGGCTGAGTTTGCACAGGGAAGCACGGCCAAACAGATGGTGCCAGGAACCCGGCGAGCAGCCCATCCCTATCTGACCTCTCAGGGAAAAAACATAAAAACTGGTTTGGTTTCCAAGCATTGTGGAGGTTGGCACAGATCCTGCCGCACTGATAAGATAATGAGTAAAGTTCCTCATTCATTCATTCATAGTCATCTGTAGTATTTGGAGCAGCATTAATAACCTTTTCACTTCTGTTATGAGCGTAAAACCATTAACTTTAAAGCATTTTATTGGCTTAAAATGCAACAGATTAAAACAAAGTCGTTTGTTAAGTGAAGGGAAAAGATGCATGGTTATCATTTTGGACAAATAGGAAATCTAAACTTTGACTTTGATCTCTTAGCTAAACAAAAAAAAAATAAATAAAAACACTAAACCAGCTTCATCTGATTTAATGTAAAATGAGCTAAAAACGTGTTAAAATAAAAGTTGATTTATACTCAGAAACCAGGTGTCGCAGTGAACGCAGATATGCCCCCACTTCCTCACCAACTCGGCCGTATCTAGACCCACAGCTAGTTCCTGATTGTCCCTCTTGCGTTGTGGCGTGGAATAACATAGCACAGACCACGCTTCAATATTGGGCACAAATCAAAAATATTTGCGACAATCTCACTGCGACACACTGCTACGGGAGGATAACCAGCCCTTTAGTGCTGAGGTCTTCAACAGGAGGTCCGTGACCCCTAGGGGGTCCATTTAGGTACTGCATGGGGGTCGTGAAAGTTTTGGTTGTTTAGACTTTTTTTTTTTTTTATATTGCCCCTGTAATTTTTTCCACTAATTGAAATGTCTTTAAATACACATTAACATGAATTCACAAAACTGTAGTAAATGACGTAATTTTCTAATGATGCTGCCACCTGTGGACAAAACACAGAACTGCAGCACTCTTCTGCTCGTTCTCATTGCTCGTTTTTTTCACCTTACAATGAGTTGCTACTGGTGGCTGAGTTGATGCAGATGTCACATCCGCCAAACAGTGCAGGAACTCACTTCAAAGTAAATTAATGAAAACAGGCTACAGGCTCTTAGATGCATCGGCGCCGAACTACTGAGGCGTCATTCTTTAGTCATAAAGGGACAAATAAAAAGGGCATTATAAAGATATTTTTCAGTACATCATAACTCTTTAAATTGAAAAGGAAAATAAGATAATCTGCTATTTAAACGTGAATTTCTGCTCTTAAAAAATGTATTAGATATTGTGAATGTGATATATGATAATTATGATTGTTCTTTATTTAAATAGAAACAATCCTATGCCATCAGCAAACTGACGAGTTAGATATGGAGTGATTTTTGTTCTGTTATTGTTGAAAGCATAGGGACACTTTTTGCAAATGGAAATTTGAAGAAAACGGAATCCAGAAATGAAACTTTGAATTATCTCTTAATAAAAGTTTTTACTTTTTTTTTCTCGGATTGTATTCTCTCTTTTTTTCCAATACGTTTTATTTATTTTTTTTTTTGTTATGCATGTTCTCAAAATGCTTTTATCTTTATGAAGTTTTCTTCAAGGTTTCATTTCTGGGTTGCATTTTTTTTCTCTAAATTTCCATTTACAAAACGTCTTCTTTGTTTGCAGCAAAAATGGAACAAAATTTGCTCCATATTCAAATCAGAGGAAAATGCATAAAAATGTTTTATTTAAATTTCATTTTTAAAGCGAAGATGACTCGACAGAAATTCTCTGAAAAACAAAAAAAGTCCAAGAGCGACTCCAACATTTGCAGAATATTGACATAACAATGCAAGTGAAAAACATGCCGCACTTTACAGATTTTGTTTGCAAAACACTGTGCAAACTCATTTATTTTCCTTCCTATTGTCTCTCCTCTGAGTTGGTCAATAAACAAATGACCCACTTGAAGCTTATGGCTGCAACATGATAGCATGCAAATTGATTGAAAGGGGACTGGGTATGCAAAGCGCCACAGGAAGGCCTTTAAAGAAAATGCCGTGGTGCAAAAACACAAAGAGGGAATTGATTGGTGAAATTTTGATGAATACGGGGGAAAATCCCAGCGTTATTGCAGGCAGGCTGACAAGTCAGAGCTCGTCAGCCGTTAGTTCTGGAGAGGTTCCATTTCTAATGAATTAAGGAAGGCCGATTGGATGGAATTACCTTGTTGGTGGCCGACTTCTGGAAGCTGGAAACCTTCCTGACGGCGAGTTCTGATGCCTCAAAGCCATCTTCTTCAAACTTCAACAGAAGAGATTCCTGATGAGAAAAAGAGAACTGTTCAACACATCTTAGTCGTGTGTGAGATTTATCTACAATTTATTGGCTGCCTTTCTCTACTTCATGACTTGATCCAGAGGTCATACAGGTGCTGGTCATAAAATTAGAATATCATGAAAAAGTAGATTGATTTCAGTAATTCCATTTAAAAAGTGAAACTTGTATATTATATTCATACATTACATACAAACTCATATATTTCAGATGTTTATTTTGTTTAATTTTGATGATTACAAATGACAACAAATGAAAATCTCAAATTCATCATATCAGAAAATTAGAATATTACTGAAGACCAATAAAAACAAAGGATTTATAGAAATGTTGGCCAACTGAAAAGTATGAACATGAAAAGTATGAGCATGTACAGCACTCAGTATTTAGTTGGGCCTCCTTTGGCCTGTATTACTGCAGCAATGCGGCGTGGCATGGAGTCGATCAGTCTGTGGCACTGCTCAGGTGTTATGATAGCCCAGGTTGCTCTAATAGTGGCTTTTAGCTCTTCTGAATTGTTGGGTCTGGTGTATTGCATCTTCTTCTTCACAATACCCCATAGATTTTCTATGGGGTTAAGGTCAGGAGAGTTTGCTGGCCAATTAAGAACAGGGATACCATGGTCCTTCAACCAGGTACTGGTAGCTTTGGCACTGTGTGCAGGTGCCAAGTCCTGTTGGAAAATGAAATCTGCATCTCCAAAAAGTTGGTCAGCTGCAGGAAGCATGAAGTGCTCTAAAACTTCCTGGTATGTGGCTGCGTTGACCCTGGACCTCAGAAAACACAATGGACCAACACCAGCAGATGACATGGCACCCCAAACCATCACTGACTGTGGAAACTTTACACTGGACTTCAAGCAACGTGGATGAAGTGCCTCTCTTCTTTTCCTCCAGACTCTGGGACCTTGATTTCCAAAGGAAATGCAAAATTTACTTTCATCAGAGAACATGACTTTGGACCACTCACCAGCAGTCCAGTCCTGTTTCTCTTTAGCCCAGGCAAGACGCTTCTGACGCTGTCTGTGGTTCAAGAGTGGCTTGACACAAGGAATGCGACAGCAGAAACCCATGTCTTTCATACGTCTGTGTGTGGTGGTTCTTGAAGCACTCACTCCAGCTGCAGTCCACTCTTTGTGAATCTCCCCCACATTTTTGAATGGGTTTTGTTTCACAATCCTCTCCAGGGTGCGGTTATCTCTCTTGCTTGTACACTTTTTTCGACCACATCTTTTCCTTCCCTTCGCCTCTCTATTAATGTGCTTGGACACTGAGCTCTGTGAACAGCCAGCCTCTTTAGCGATGACCTTTTGTGTCTTGCCCTCCTTGTGCAAGGTGTCGATGGTCGTCTTTTGGACAACCGTCAAGTCAGCAGTCTTCCCCATGATTGTGTAGCCTATAGAACTAGACTGAAAGACCATTTAAAGGCTTTTGCAGGTGGTTTGAGTTAATTAGCTGATTAGAGTGTGGCACCAGGGGCCATCAATTTTGAACCTTTTCACAATATTCTAATTTTCTGATATGATGAATTTGAGATTTTCATTTGTTGTCATTTGTAATCATCAAAATTAAACAAAATAAACATCTGAAATATATGAGTTTGTATGTAATGTATGAATATAATATACAAGTTTCACTTTTTAAATGGAATTACTGAAATCAATCTACTTTTTCATGATATTCTAATTTTATGACCAGCACCTGTAGATTAGCGGACCAGGGTCAAATTTCATGCCATATTTCAACATGATGGTGAGACGTTTAAACACGACACCAATAGCAAAGCAGACCGTGGTACCTTTAATTACTATGTTAATAACTGTGTTTAGTTCATTAGACGGTTGGGAAAAAATACACTGATATAATATGTTTCACACCGCAATAAAGATCTTAAAAAAAAAGATGTATTTGAGTATTTTATTTTTTACACTACCACTTGGAATTATGGGTAACCCAGAGCGTAGATTAAAACCATAACTGTTACGTACAATGTGTTAGCGAAGATGGATACCAAAAAGAGTTACTTAAGCGGATTCCAGAAAAGAAAAAGGAAAGAAGAGCTGCTGGAAGAACGGAAAAAACTTCCCAAAATAAACACGTTCTTTCACAGAACCGAAGAGGGAGAGGAGGACGTTGCTGCAGTGAGTAAAGACTGTGACCAGGAGATGAATGGAGAGAGCGTGGGTGAGGAGGGGGGCTGTTTTGTTTTGCCCGATGGCTTTTTAGGTGAAGAACAATGAAGTGTGTATGTATGGGGCACGTTTCGGGTCGGTTCTCTACGGTGGTGGGTCGATAAGCATCTCCCTGAAATGAGTTTTTGGAACTTGGGATGTCTCTAATGTGGTGGTGCGCTGTCATCAATGGCTCCATTCAAGGTGCGCGGTCACTACTTTTCCTTGTGTGATGCGTGATCATATACTACTGAGAATTGCGTAATTGTATCTTCTTGGCTGATTTCTGGAACTATTGCCGTATCCTGAATGTTTATCACGTGTTGTACTTCAGATGGGGCCCACCCAGATAATGCAGCTTACGGACCTATTGTTGTGTCGTTGCGCCATTGGATTGATGTTATCACACTGACTTAGAGCAGCACTGTCTCACTGTGTGGTGTGGAGGCTGCAGCGCCTCAGACTGGAAGAAGGTGAGAAGAGTGGTGAGACCAGCAGAGAGGATCATGGGGGCTCCTCTTCCTTCCATTAAAGACATTTCATCCCAGCTCTGCGTATCCGGAGCCCGTAACAGCATAAATGACCCCTCACACCCCCACCATGGACTGTTCTCCCTGCTGCCCTCTGGGAAGAAGCTTCGAAGCATCTGATGCAGGTCCAGCAGATTCTGCAACTGCTTCTTCACCACATCAGACTGCTGGTGAATCATTGTAAAATGGGTAATTTTATTGTATTTCATTATAACAAAAAGAAGAAAAAAAAAACTGAAATTTTAGAACTCTAAGGCAGACTGCACTGCATGTTTTAGATGTTTCCCAGCTTCCACACACCTGTTATCAATTGATAGCAGATTGTCAGGCTTTGCTGAACTGCAATTATCTGAATCAGGTGTGCTGAAGCTCAGAAACATCCAAAACATGCAGAGCAAGGTGCCTTGAGGACCATGTTTGAAAAACACTGCTCTAAATATACAGTCATATGTTTATATTACTGTTTTTATGTATTTCGTTACTGTTTTCAAGGCTGTACTTAAAAAAAATGAAATTGTCTAGAGCGAAGCTCTTCTACGGGGGTCGCAACAGTTTTGGTTAAATTTCTTTTTGTTTAAACTTGTGTAAACAGAATGACTACATAAATCAGTCTAAGTCAGCAGTGATTGAGGCTCCCTATAGAAACCTAAAGTGATCATGTTTGGGATTCTGCAGAGAAAGCATCCATCCCTCAGCTCCTTTATTGCAGTCACCTGCTCCACAGCAGGCAGATCAGCAGTCACCAGACTCACCCCACGCCTGGTCGCCTCCTCATTCAGATCCCTGCACCAGGCTGCCCTCCACTGCCTCTTCCAGCTGTTCAGTGACAGCGCCCATCGCAGCAGAGCCACTGCCTCCTCCTCCTCCTCCTGGGCTGCTCCTGCTGCTCCTCTCTGCCTGCCTCCTATTAAGCCAGGATGGAAAAACTGCACGAAGTATATAGCCAAAGTGAGCAGGGATGCGATGAACAGGGTGACCATGCATAGCCACTGCGGGTCCTCCAAACCGAGAGATGAACTGGAAGCCTCCACCTCAGGCATTCTTTGCTCTTTAGTCCCAACTTAATGATACACCTGCTTTGGGAAACTTCCTGACGACCTCATAGTAGGAATTTAATTAATAATAAAAAAGGCGGAATCACGAAGAACAATCGCTCTTATCAGATAACAACAATGTTATGCAAATGTTCTGGTTGTTGTTGTTCATGCTGCGGAGCCTCCAGTCCGCCTGCAGAGCTCAGATAGAGTCCCAGCTTAAATAACCCAGCTGAATGCCACTTATTATCCCACTTTAAGTCCTGTTAGCATCGCTGGCTAACCTCCGCAACCATTAGCTGTTCCCAAATTAGCTAAAAGAGAAGCTAAAAGTTTCCTCTATGGCTGCCGTTTCCAACCCGTGAGCTTGTTATCCTCTGGCAGACGGTTTGGTACCCAGTAAAGCATCCTGCGGTGGAGGAGTGCCGCCCGTCCGTCCCGCTGGACTTCGGCTCGCGCCTCTCTCTGATCTGACTGTACAAAGTTATGGAGACCGATATGTGGCACGGACTGTAACTCCCACAATGCAACGCGATAAAGGACCGTTTCACACCGGCTGCTCGGAGCAAAGACAAACTCTCATTCTTTCTCTGCGCCGTTCGCGTTAAAAATACAGTAAATACTTTATTCGTAGTTAACTTTAGTGCTAGAGCTAAAAAACAAAAAACGATAACGTAAGCTCAATTTAATGTTATTATTCCAAAATACGTGTTTTGAGCTTTGTGGCTTTCCGTAGCTAAACGAAACGTCATCAGAGACGCTGAAGTTGGTTTCCTGTTGGTCACTTGGCTCAAGCTTTCATCCCAAGGCACCATGGTCAGCTGTTAAATACGTTTTTCAACATTTAAAGTGCTGTTTTAACTAGATAAAATATGATTATTTCTCTTATGTTTATCAGTGAAATAACCCATACATTACCTGCTGTTTGTCCAGTGTTTCTACTATGCTGCTGATGCAAAACTGGATAAAATATTGAAGAACTGCAGAGATTTAATCAGGTCTATCAAAAATAAATATAAAAAGCTTATTAGAAAATTAAAAATGTAGCAAACATTCCTGAAATATGCACTCTGAACAAACTTTAAGATATTTTAGGAAACAGAGGGCTTATGGGATTTATTATGGGTTTTTTTTTCATCCAGTTCTCACTATCAGAGGTTACCCAAACATTGTGTTGGAGTAATAGTAGAACTACTTCAAACTATTTTAACTTGAGTAAAAGAAAAATGTAGCTAACAAATTACCCTATATTTAAAAATATCTTGTATAAAGGATAATAATAACTGAAAACATAAAATTTTCACCTTTATTTATAGATGTTGGAGATCGACCTGTTTTTCAGTGTAGTCCTGTTTTTCTGGCTGTGACTGGCTGTATGTGCTCTCTTCATCCTCTGACATGGGAGCTGGCTCCGAGCTCGTCTGCCTGGCTGTGTGTTTCCTGGACGGGGCCGCCTTTTACAGCTGCTTTTCGTATCTCTGCTTCTGTCTCCTTGAACCCCAGTCAGCCTCAGCAGATGGCCGCTCACACTAAGCCTGGTTCTGCTGGAGGTTTCTTCCTGTTAAAAGGGAGTTTTTCCTCTCCACTGTCGCTACAAGCATGCTTTGTGTGAGGGATTGCCTTCGAGTCAATGAAATCAACTGCTTTTCCTTAGATTGAAAACATTAACTGTATGATCTGGTGAACTGTAAAGGGCCTTGAGATGACATGTGTTAGGAATTGGCGCTATAGAAATAAACTGAATTGAATTCATTAATAGCTATCAAAAAATCTAAATTCCTTTGCAGACTAAAATGCAAACAGAATATAACTAAATTATGTGATAGCTAATTAAAAATTAGACTGAAGAAAGACTTTTCCAAAACAAAATGTCACCTTAAACCTTAAGAAACAAAAAACCTGCAATAAATAAAGCATATTAGAATAGGGGGAAACCACCAGAGATTTTATCTACTGTTTAGTTTTTCCACTTGACCTCCAATCAGTACAGCAGGCTCATAAAAATCATAAAAACTTGTATCCTTAAAAATAAAAAAAACTTTGAACTTAAAATGTTTCTCTAGGTATGATGCTATTTTGATTAAAACAAGCTTGCAGTGTATTTACTGTGTAGTAACAAAATATTTAGCTCGAGTCCAAGTAGTGATATTTCATAATAATATTACTTGAGTAAAAGTAAAAGCATTTTTAAATGCCTCCTAAAAATATCCTACAAATGGAATAAAAGTATGTAAGCTGTTGCAGAACTGGAGAGCTCCTTCAGTGACAGACTGCTGCTCCCTAAATGCACCAGGGAGCGTTATCACAGATCCTTCCTCCCAGCAGCTGGAAGACTTTATAACCACCACTGTTCCCAAGAAACTCAACGAGTTGTTATATTCATGCTGATTCTGCAGTTTCTACCTTAGTCAGTTAAATAGCATGCTGCTGTCATTTCCACATCTCTGATGTTGCAGCTATTTTCAAATATCAATTTTTGTAAAAATGTCCACAGCTGTTTATTTACTCTCCAGACACAACACATTTATATTGTAAAAACACTCTAGTGTAGTTTCTTATTTGTTTATTTATTTAACTCTTTTACATATTGTGTTATTTCTATACACTTCCTGAGGTCCACATTGTGTGACCACTTTGCTGCTATAACCTTTCGCTGCTGTAATACCTCAATTTCTCCATTGTGGGACAATAAAGAGGTTTTCTATTCTATTCTATTCTATTCTATTCTATTCTATTCTATTCTATTCTACTCTATTCTATTCTAATCCTCAGATATTAGTAGTAACTACACACCTCTATTCAATCTTTGCCAAAAGTTGAATGAGAAAGTATTTTCTATGCAGTATCTGATCAAGAAAGGCAATGCAATTAGTATAACCACATATTAAGAACACATTAATATCTGAGTAGTGTATTTGAGTCTTAATAATGAAAGTAGTTCCGTTTTTAAATAAAACAAGTAAAAAAACAACAACAGAAAAAAAACCAAAAAAACAGCGGAAGGACCCTTTACTTAAGATCGGCGGCGGAAGCGCCGAATCGGACACTAACTTCAGGCTAATCGCTGCGTCCATACTTGACTTACAGCAAACATCCACTGTATTTAGCTGTTGTATATTTATCCCTGCTAATCCCATTTCTAACTTAAAACCTAGTTTTGTTTTAGGGGTAAACCCCTTCGATGTGCTTCGTTGAACGGTGTGAAACAGCGCGGAAGTCTCCGCCCATTTTCAGAGGTAAACAAATAAAACACGTTCGTCATCCGAGCTGTTGGAGCTGCCGTGACCCTCCCGCTTGTTTTCTTCGTCTGTAAATGGAAACAGGCGACGTCTGAGGATGAACTGTCGCTCGGAGGTCCTGGAGGTGACGGTGGAGGCCCGGCAGGTGGAGGAAGCTATGCTGGCCTTACTACACACCATCCTGCTGCATCGAAGCACAGGCAAGTTTCACTACAAGAAGGAGGGCACCTACTCCATAGGCACCGTGGGCACACAGGACATCGACTGCGATTTCATTGACTTCACCTTCGTCAGGGTGTCCTCTGAGGAGCTGGACAGGGCCATCAGGAAAGCGGTGTCTGAATTCAAGGTAATGATGTGGCTTTTGTGTCTGATTATGGGCTGTCATGTTTGAGGAGGAGGAGGCCTGTAAATGCTGATTATGATGTTTGTCCTGAGCTATCTCTATAGTTATGCTGCTATAGGCTTAGACCGCTGGAGGACAAAGGGATCCCTTTTTCATCATCCTATCTCAATTCCCCCACTCTGCAGGATCTGTTAGTTCAATCTCTAACATTCTGCTGCTGCCATCAACAAAATTCTTTATAGATGTTGGAGTTTGGCCTGTTTTCCAGTGTAGTCCTGTTTCTCTGACTGTGACTGGCTGGATGTGCTCTCTTCATTCTCTGACATGGGAGTGTTTCCTGGACGGGGCCACCTTTTACAGCTGCTTTTTGTATCTCTCCTTCTGTCTCCTTGAACCCCAGTCAGCCTCAGCAGATGGCCGTTCACACTGAGCCTGGTTCTGCTGGAGGTTTCTTCCTGTTAAAAGGGAGTTTTTCCTCTCCACTGTCGCTACAAGCATACTTAGTGTGAGGGATTGATTCAATGAGTCGATGCAATCAACTGGTTTTCCTTAGATAGAAAACTTTGAATCAGTGATCTGTTGAACTGTAAAGTGCCCTGAAATTACACATGTTGTTAATTGGCGTCTTAGAAATAAACTCAATTGTTTGTTTTTCCTGCAGGATGCTTTGAGCAGCGACGGCATGGGGCAGATCTCCCTGGAGTTCTACCAGAAGAAGAAGTCTCGCTGGCCCTTCTCCGACGAGTGCATCCCATGGGAGGTGTGGAGCATCAAAGTCAACACGGTTAACCTAGCGAACGAGCAGGAGAGGCAGATCTGCAGGGAGAAAGTGGGCGAAAAGCTGGGGGAGAAGGTGATCAACGTGGTGGAGGTCATAAACCGCCACGAATACCTGCCAAAGATGCCCACCCAGTCTGAGGTGGGCAATGTTTTTGACACCAGCCTGAAGGACGTCCAGCCATACCTGTATAAGATCACATACCAGATCACTGACTCTCTGGGGACCTCAGTGAGCACCACCATGAGGAGGCTGATAAAAGACACCTTGGCCCTGTGAGCGGCCCCTCTTTGGCCCTGTGAGCGGCCCCTCTTTGGCCCTGTGAGGGGCCCCTCTGTGCATCACTACCTGCTTACGTTTGAGAGCTCTGTCCTGCTGCAGCTTTAAAGCTGCGTTTGACGTCACCGGTGTAAAGATCCGCTGTGATTCTTTTCATTTTTCCAATCATTTTTTCCTTATTATGAAGATTTCTTTGCTCTAAAATCATTTAACCCACCGTCTGTAAATAGTGTTGATTTTCTTAATAAAATCCTCAATCTCATCAAACTTTACCTAAAGACTGAAACAGATAAAGACAGAAAAACCTGAGTCTTTTCCAAAATGGTTAAAGGTTGACTTTGCTTATCTATTACAAAAAACAAAAAACTTCCTCTGCGTGTGTTTTCATGGTGAATCTGACCTTAGAAGTGAGAACAGGATTTCCAGTTTGTGTGTGTGTTTTTTTTTTTTTTCCATATTATAGCTATCACATCCTAAGTTCACCCCCTGGTTTCCAGTCACAGTGTGTCACGGTGTCCCACAACCTGAGAAACATCCTCTGCAGGGTTAAAATGTCTGCCAACAGGAAAGCAACACGTGGAATTACTCTGCGTCCAAATCAGAGCAGGCCTGCACAGATATTAGCTGCCTGATTAACATCTAGCTTGTTGTTTTTAAATACAAGAAAAAACAGCCGAATAGAAAGAAGAGATTTTAAGCTGGATGTATGACTTATTTACATTTAAACTTACCTAAAACCTTGAAACAGCTTTTAGTAACAAACATCGGATGAGTCAAGATTGTTACGGTTTGGCCACTTTTCTCTAAAACCTTCACTGCAAAAAATGTAAACCTAAGAAAATAAATTTTTCTTCAAATAAGTGAGGTAAGTGAGACACTTTGCCAATAGAGCAAGACAATTTACATTTAAAATAAAAAAAATACAGTTGCTTTGTCTCATTTCAAGTGCATTTTATGTAATTATCTTAATTTAAAGTAGTAGGGAAACTGTTCTACCCGATGCACTTCCGTATTCTCCTGAGTGGTGCACGACTTTACACGAGTGAATAAAGTGAATGTGATTGGTCATTTATCAAGGGGGCGGGATTGTTAAGGCAGAAGGTTTGAAAGCAAGTTTGATTGTGGCTGCTTTATTGGAAGCATCTTGCTAACCAGTTAGCAACTTAGTGCTAGTAGGTTCCCAATGGGAAATTCCATTGGGACCAAGTAGCACTAAATTGGTGCCTTAGAAAAGACGCTGTCAAGGAACGCTATGGACAGAGGAAACATGCAAGAGGAGGAGAGTTTTGTGAAGGAGATCGTGGATGAGTCTCCTCTGTCATCCATTTTTTATTTAGAGGAGGAAAGCGGGGACAAAGATGTTGTGGAAGAGGACGCCAGGGCGGCAGAAGCTTGGTTTGGTGTAGAAGGCTGCCAGCCGTACATGTTTGAGCCCTTGCCTCGCAACGCTGCCAGTTCTGTTAGCTCTACGCCTGCTGAAGACAGACGTCCATCCCCGTGAACACTGGGACGCAACTCAATGGGAAAGGAAATGATTCTTATTTCAACTGTTGGGTATATTAGCTGCGACATATGAATCAAGATGCTATGACCGAAAACATGATTGACAGATGATGGTTGATATATGATTGGCTGAATTTAGGTGTTCAGGCTGACTTACAACTAACTGGCCTGCATAAGATAATAAAGAAAAAACACTGATTTTAAGACAGCATTTTTTTATTTTTTTTTTACAGAAATTTTCTAAATTTTGGGACAATATATGTTAATAAAGAGTACATTTATATACATGTTTAAGCCAGAATGATTTGACATTTAAATATGACTTCCCTACGACTTTAAGAGTAAAAATCCTCATTCCATTGGCAAATCCTCTTATTTACCTACTTAAATTAAGCGTAATTACACTTGTTTTAAGAAATCTTTAGTTATTTTTAGATTGTCTTTGCAGTGTTGGAGCTTCCAGACAAGGGTGTAACTTTGTAATGAAACTTGGTGGGGACACTCTTAAGGTGGGGACTGATGGACCTACAAAAAATTAGCTCAAACATATATTTATTGAATGCTTTCCTATTGATGAGAACACAAAAGAACCAAAATACACTGTTATTTATTGGTAGGTAGGCATTAATGTATAAAAAAGAATGAATAACAGCCAATTCTGATGCCAACAGCAATATATCATGCCTCTCTAGAATGCACACAGTTTCAGTTTCATTCATCCATCAGTCAATCCATCCAGAAAAACATGGATTGATGGATGTTTTCCCTCTCAGCTACACCAGTGAATATATCCTCCTTCAAAAGCAGCAAAATCAATTCTAGAAATTTGACCCACACATTACCAAAGTCTATGTATTGAAATTATTGGTGGGGACTGTCCCTACCAGGACAAAGTTGATGAGGACATGTCCAACTCAGTCCTTCATAAAGTTATGCCTGTGCTTCCAGATCAAACCCAAACTGATCATTCTAGTTTTTAGTGGTTAAAGTTAAAAAAACTCTTTATACATTTACAACCTGAGATTAAAGTATAATTAGGAGCCAAGACGCTCGGATCCGTCCTTCTATATTAATCATTTTTCTTTGTTTTTTTCTGCTCCTTCATGCTGGAAAAATCCGTACATCACCAGATACACTATATTGCCAAAAGTATTTGCTCACCTGCCTTGACTCACATATGAGCTTAAGTGACATCCCGTTCCTAATCCATAGGGTTCAATATGACGTCGGTCCACCCTTTGCAGCTAGAACAGCTTCAACTCTTCTGGGAAGGCTGTCCACAAGGTTTAGGAGTGTGTTTATGGGAATTTTTGACCATTCTTCCAGAAGCGCATTTGTGAGGTCGCACACTGATGTTGGACGAGAAGGCCTGGCTCTCAGTCTCCGCTCTAATTCATCCCAAAGGTGTTCTATCGGGTTGAGGTCAGGACTCTGTGCAGGCCAGTCAAGTTCATCCACACCAGACTCTGTCATCCATGTCTTTATGGACCTTGCTTTGTGCACTGGTGCACAGTCATGTTGGAAGAGGAAGGGGCCAGCTCCAAACTGTTCCCACAAAGTTGGGAGCATGGAATTGTCCAAAATGTCTTGGTATGCTGAAGCATTCAGAGTTCCTTTCACTGGAACTAAGGGGCCAAGCCCAGCTCCTGAAAAACAACCTCACACCATAATCCCCCCTCCACCAAACTTTACACTTGGCACAATGCAGTCAGACAAGTACCGTTCTCCTGGCAACCGCCAAACCCAGACCCGTCCATCAGATTGCCAGATGGAGAAGCGCGATTCGTCACTCCAGAGAACGCGTCTCCACTGCTCTAGAGTCCAGTGGCGGCGTGCTTTACACCACCGCATCCGACGCTTTGCATTGCACTTGGTGATGTATGGCTTGGATGCAGCTGCTCGACCATGGAAACCCATTCCATGAAGCTCTCTGCGCACTGTTCTTGAGCTAATCTGAAGGCCACATGAAGTTTGGAGGTCTGTAGTGATTGACTCTGCAGAAAGTTGGCGACCTCTTCGCACTATGCGCGTCAGCATCCGCTGACCCCGCTCCGTCAGTTTACGTGGCCTACCACTTCGTGGCTGAGTTGCTGTCGTTCCCAAACACTTCCATTTTCTTATAATACAGCTGACAGTTGACTGTGGAATATTTAGGAGCGAGGAAATTTCACGACTGGATTTGTTGCACAGGTGGCATCCTATCACAGTTCCACGCTGGAATTCACTGAGCTCCTGAGAGCGACCCATTCTTTCACAAATGTTTGTAAAAACAGTCTGCATGCCTAGGTGCTTGAATTTATACACCTGTGGCCATGGAAGTGATTGGAACACCTGATTCCAATAATTTGGATGGGTGAGCAAATACTTTTGGCAATATAGTGTATTTTTATTTTTGGAGGAATTTGCTTTCTGAGATCGTTTTTTTCATCTCCTCTTTTAGCCACGCTGCAAAACTCAAATACGTGTATGTTTGTTTTGAGCAGGAAGGACAATGCTATACTATTAATTTAAGGGCAGAAACGGTGACCTTATTTTTAGATAAATTTCTGCAGCGTTCCTGAGCTTCATTCTTTGGTAGAAATCTGACTTCCAGCTCCTCTTTACTCTGTTGCTCCTGGACATTAACATCATCTGCTCTGCTCACTGATCCACTCTAACACGTCTGGCGTTGATGAAGGGAAGCTCTGTGCTGGTGGCAAAGTAGATCACCTTTCTGTTGTTTCCTGGAAACTCTTAGATGCGCTGAAGTCAGCTGAGGTGCTCAGCTTCTGATGATCCTTCTGGGCCAGTTTTCTTTCCTTACACATTAGGCTACAGTGACGCACAGCAATCATGGCAGCAGGGTTTTCTCAGAAGGTATTCAGCTGATGAAGTGATTTCAGCAGGGCCTCTTTCACGGCTGCATCTCTACTGATCATATGACTAGACTGAGTTAAGGTCAGCTGCAAAGGCTGAAAATGGGTTTCAGTGTTTAAGCAAAAGCAGATCCTGGCTATAAAATATGCATTTAATCAGATAAAAACAGGAATTATGAGCAGAAAAACTGAAGCTACAAAGGTAGACTTAGGCAAAAATGTTGCCATTGTTTTCTATCTATACACAGCTGGACGTTATTATTGGCTTTCTTAATTTAATGAAAGAAAAAGCCCAAATGGTCACAGAAAAAAAACCTTAAATCTGACAAAAGAAATGATAAATACAAATTGTATGAAAAGGATCAAATAAAAGTCAGACATTGCAATTTTAACCATGCTTTAACAGAATTATTTAATCTAATGAAACAGGCCTGGAAAAAAAATTATGGTTCCCCCAGAAACGACTGAAAATATGACCAAGGGTAAACATTAAATCACGGTGTGTCTGCTCATTAGCAGGACAGTAGTCTACCATGTAGTAATCAGCCAGATGACCTATACATAGGACTACTGACATGGTGTGTACCACACTCAACACAGACCAGAGAAAGAGAAGGAAAGAGTCGTCTCAGGAGATCAGAATGAAAATGATAGAGAAGCATGTTAAAGGTAAAGGCTGTAAGACCATCTCCAAGCAGCTTGATGCTCCTGTGACTACAGCGGCTCGTTATTCAGAAATGTAAGATCCATGGAATGGTAGCTGACCTCCCTGGACGTGGCTGCAGGAGGAAAATTAATGACAAATCTAAGAGAAAGACAATATGAATGGTAGAATAAGAGATTAAAGGTCAACTTAAAAGCTTTTTTTTAATTTTTATTGTTATTAAATTGTCACATGTACAGAGCAAAGAAATTCAATCTCTGCATTTATCCCATTCCCCAGGGGAGCACCTGCCATTGTGGGGCACGCGGGGAGCAGTATGGGGTTAAGGCT